CTAAATGAGACAGTGATAATGCATTCCAATCTATCTTCTTTTTTAGCTGCTTATTTTCTCCCCTAATATAGTTCATCAAAATGACAATCAGAAAATCTTGCCGTAAATAAATCTCCAGTCATCGGCTCTAGATATTTTATAATAGAAGGAGATTCATATCCAACATATATCCCCAACCTTCTTTTAGGACACATCTTTGTATGTTGTGGTGGAGCAATTGGAATATATATCGCACAACCAAAGAACCTAAGATGAGAAATATTTGGCTCCTGACCAAAAGCCAATTGCAATGGGGAGACTTTATGATAACTTGTGGGCTTTATCCGCACAAGTGCTGCTGCGTGCAAAATAGCATGACCCCATACTGAAATGGAAAGTTTTGTTCTCATAAGCATAGGTCTAGCGATTAATTGAAGGCGTTTGATCAATGATTCTGCTAGACCATTTTGTGTATGAACATGAACAACCAGATGCTCAATTGTTATCCTAGTTGAAATACAATAATTATTAAAGGCTTGGGATGTAAATTCACCAGCATTATCAAGACGAATTGTCTTAATTGCATAATACGGAAATTGTGCTCTTAGCTTTATTATTTGAGCCAACAATCTCGTAAATGTCATATTGCGAGTTGATAATAAGCACACATGTGACCATCTTGTAGATGCATCTACCAAAATCATATAATATTTGAATGGTCCACATGGAGGGTGAATGGGCCCACATATATCACCATGTATACGTTCCAGAAATGCAGTGGATTCCATCCTACCTTTAACAGTTGATGGTCTAATAATTAATTTTCCTTGAGAACATGCAGCACAAGAGAATTCCTTAAATTGAAGAATCTTCTGATTCTTCATTGCATGTCCACGTGAATTCTCAATTATTTTACGTATCATATTAGAACCAGGATGGCCCAACCAGTCATGCCAAATAATAAAATTATCTTGATTAGTAAACTTCTCGTTTACTACGGCATGTGTTTCAATCCTTCTAATACTTGTGCAGTATAAGCCGGAGGAAAGAACAGGTAATATTTCAAGTACATATTTCTTACCGGGCATTATTGTAGTAATATAAAGATATTCAATCTTTTCATCATTTGTAGTCTCAATATGATAGCCATTTTGTCGAATATCTTTGAAACTTAATAAGTTTCTTTGAAATTTACTACAATATAGTGTTTCATCAATAGCCAAATTTGTTCCTCCTGGTAGTAATAAATTGGCTCTTCCAGAACCTTCAATTAATCTTGTACTACCGGATATTGTATTAACATTCGCTTCTTTCATTACCAAATAAGAGAAATATCTCTTATCTTTTAAAATAGTGTGTGTTGTAGCACTATCCAGAAGACATATATCATCTTTATTAATCTTGAGTCCAACTGAAGACTGGGGAATTTTCATATTCTTCATAAAAAAAAAAATAATACATCATAAGAAATATGAAAGACAAGCGGAAAAAAAAATTAAGAAATACATTAGGAATGTAGAAACTAGCAACACATGATGCATTAGGAAAATACACTCAAGAAAAATAAACTAGTTGCAAACATAAAAATAACAACTTTTATAGCTTCATTCCCCAGTAAGATGATTAGTTCTTCAGTCAATATCCTCAAAGAAGTCTCCAACTTCTAAATGAGTAATATTTGTTAGGCCTTCAAAATCATCATCTTTATATGCAAGATGTGCCTTAGAATCATATTTATTTGAGGGACCTGCTTCATCATCATTATTTTGAAAGGTCAAGTGTGCCTCCACATTATTTTCTTTTTTCTTGAGGGAGGCTTGATAAAGTTTGACAAAATGTTCTGGCGTACGACAAATGCGTGCCCAATGACCTCTCATACCACATCGGTGACACATACTAGCTTTACCTTTTGAATGATTAATTTGAGAACCCTTATTGTTCTCCAATTTATTTCCACCATAATGACGATAATTGTTTCGCCCCCTGCCACGTCCACGTTTACGACCATGTCCACGACCACGACAATATTTTGTTTTCTTTCAAACTTATCATATGCTGCTACAGTATTCACTTCCGGAAATGGAGCTAACCCAGTGGGACGGGCTTCATGATTTTTCATTAATAGAGTATTATTCTGCTCTGCCACAAGTAGACATGTGATTAACTCAAAATATTTCTTAAAACCTTTTTTACGGTATTGTTGTTGTAGCACCACATTTGAAGCGTGAAAAGTAGAAAAAGTTTTTTCCAATAAGTCCTCATATGTGATAGTGTCTCCACATAATTTTAATAGAGAACTTACTTTAAAGATAACAGAATTATACTCACTTACGGTTTTAAAGTCTTGCAGCCTTAAATGTATCCACTTATACCGAGCTTTCGGTAATACCGTAAATTTTAGGTGGTCATACCGATCCTTCAAATTAATCCTTAATTCAAGTGGATCTTTTACGGTTTAATATTCAGTTTTTAACCCTTCATGTAGATGACGACGAAGGAAAATCATGGCCTTCGCTTTATCCTGATTTGATGCTTCATTTCCTTGTATAATAGTATTTCCAAGACCTTTAGCGTCAAGGTGAATTTCAGCATCAAGGACCCATGATAAATAGTTCCTCCCGGTGATGTCAAGTGCCACAAATTCAAGTTTTGATAAATTTGACATAGTGAAAACTATCATAAAAGATGAATAAGTTAGAGAAATAATTATAATAATAAACAATTAATGAAAACAAAACGATTAAGGTAAAAAAAATGAAAATAGAGCTATATCATGTTAACAATCCACTATTTCATTTTATTCTTGCCATAAAGTAGAAATTACATACTTGTTTCATTTCACTTTATATTATTGATATATATGTGTTAATAGAATTGAACGTGACTAACATTATTTATATGTTCCAATAAATATAAAGTAATTAAACTATTTAAGATGCCCAAGAGCACAAGAAATCTGCAAACAATGAGCATATGATATGTACTGCCATAAATAAAATGATTATAATGATACTTACCTTAATAAAATATGGCTCAACTTAGCGGGAGTTAAGAATAAAATTAGAGTTTCATGCTGATAACGTGTTATAAAATAAAAGCAATGTAGTAAAATATAAATAAGAAGAGATAGAAAGAAGGAAGAAGTCTTTTCTTCTTTTACTTTGGTGTATCTTTCCATTGCAATTACATAGCCTTTTATAGGCATAAAAAATAAATATGATGGACATAAAGTAGGATATTTAATCTTTAAGCTATTCACAACATGGACATCCAATGTACAAACTATGTTGTTCACAACGTGCGCATCTAATGTAGCATCCAATGTACAAACTATGTTATTCACAACATGAGCATCCAATGTAGCATCAAATGTACAAACTATTTATAACAACGAGCACCTATTTGAACGAGGGGCAATTGTTATATTTAAATTTCAAAGGTCTAGATTAAATTAAATTAACAAGCATATTAGTCATAGATATATTCAGAAAGAAAAACTTTGGTGTAAAAAAAAACTTATGGCTTAATTAATATGATTTTTTTCAATTTTTTTAATACTTTTTCTCTGCTATGTGAAGTGAAGGCGCAAAGAGAGGAGCCAGTAATAATTGGACGTGGAAAAAGGTAAAAATTGTACGGGCCGCCCTATTGGTCACCCCCATTTAATTTATATATTTTTTTTTATTTTTTTTTAACTTGTACTAACTTTTTAAATAACTTCAGCCCCCTTTCTCCTCCTCCGTTTTCTTCTTCACGTTACAAAACAAACTGGTATATCTCCAGAAGCAACGCTGCTTTAGTTATAAGGTCAATTTTTTTTTAATTGAACATTTCGGCAGTTGTACTTCTGCTCCAAATTTACAGCAAATTAGTCTTAGGAAAAATTTAAGTTACCAATAAGATGAGCTGTAAAATTTTGGAGTTTTTGTATGTTTATTCGTGTTTGAGATGAGAAGATGTACATTATTTTTCTTAAAAAATCACTGCTAATTATGGTGCTTCAGCTCTAGAGCTGAAGTTCGCCAGTTACAAAACAAAAACTTTGCCAGTTACAAAACAAAAACTTTGCCAGTTACAAAACAAAAACTTCGCCAGTTACAAAAACAAAAACTTCAGCTCTAATCGCCAGTTAAAAAACAAAAAACTTTAGCTCTAGAGCTGAACTTCAAGCCCGACTACTAGAATGTTGAAGTTTTTCGTGATTGCCTTTGGTACTTCAGTCTTGTATGCTGAAGTTATGCGAAAAAACGGGTAGGCTTGCAATTTTTTTTGCAAAACGGACAGAAGTTAAAACGTGATATAAAAAGCGTGTATAGATGCAAATGCCCCTGGAAAAAGGGGTAGCTAATGCAAATGAATTTATTCAAATTAACACACAGATGTACATTTGATCGTATTATTTAAACTAAAAACATAAAATACACATGATCGACACCTTACACCATGTCACTAAATCAAAGTAGTCTCAACAGGTACGTAACAGAGCCAAGTCACTATTTAAAATTAGAGGAATCACCAATATCTGGCTCTTCTCTCTTTTGTCTGCCGCAAAAATTTTAAAATTCACAGAAGAATTAATTAATCACTCTTCTCTGTAACGTCAGATGAGTAATGAATCGCGTAATAATTAAACAATCTTAGAAAAATAATCCAGCGACGGCTGCAACCCCAAAAACATAGGAGACCTTTATAGTGGTGGCGGCGCTAGCCGTAGTGGGTGCTTCAGCAGGAGTGGCACTGTCAGCGGTGGGACCCGAAGATGTAGCGGGGGTGGGTGGGGAAGAAGAGTCGCTGTCGGGGGAAGGTGGAGATGAGGGTTCATCATCAGCAGGGGAATTTGAAGTTGGAGAAGAAGTTGGAACAGAATCAGAATCAGAAGAGGAGGAATTAGATGAAGATGATGATGATGATGATGGTGATATTGATGATGATGGTGTACTGGCTTTAGGGGAAGAGGCAGGGGTAGGGGATGATTTTGGGGTGGCGGCGGTGGGGGCATTAGCACTGCTCTTTGGTGCAGCTGCTGATTGCGTCGAGGCAGAAGGCGATGATGATGGGGTTGTTGCTGGTGATGACGATGATGATAATGATGATGATAGTGATGTTGCTGAGTTCATGAGTGAAAAAGAATTTCAGTGAAATATGTTTTGTTCTATCTCCTTTGATATATCCTTCTTTCAATTGAGCTAGCATCATTTTCTTCATACAATATTGTTGGAATATTCTCTTTCGAAGAAAGACCATATGTTTGTTGAATGTGTTGAGTTATCGATCTCAACCAAACGCATTCTCGACTTGCTTCGTGAATGTCTATTATTTCTGCATGATTCGAAGAAGTAGCAACCATAGTTTGTTTTGTCGAACACCATGATATGGTTGTACCTCCACTTGTAAATAAATAGCCTGTCTAAGATCGACCTTTGTGTGGATCAGACAAATATCTTGCATCTGCATAACCAATCAATGATGGCTTAGATTTATTTGAATAAAATAAACCCATATCAATGGTCCCTTGGAGGTATCTGAATATATGTTTCAATACCATTCCAGTGTCTTTGTATTGTCGAAGAACTAAATCTTGCCAATAAGCTTACTGAGAAAGCTATATCTGGTCGGGAATTATTGGCAAGATACATTAATGCCCCAATTGCACTAAGATATGGTACTTCGGCACCAAGAAGCTCTTCATCATTTTCATGAGGTCGGAATGGATCTTTCTTTATATCAAGTGATCTCACAACCATCGGGGTACTCAATGGATGTGCTTTATCCATATAGAATCGCTTTAAAATCTTTTCGGTGTATGTTGATTGATGGACAAATATTCCATCTTTCATATACTCAATTTGTAGACCAAGACAAAATTTTGTCTTTCCAAGATCTTTCATTTCAAATTCTTTCTTCAAATAGTCTACTGTTTTTGGAAGCTCCCCAGGAGTTCCCATGATATTTAAATCATCAACATACATGGCGATTATAACAAATTCAAGTCCAGACCTTTTTATAAAGACACAAGGACAAATTGGATCATTCTTGTACCATTCTTTCAATAGGTATTTACTCAGGCGATTGTACCACATACGACCAGATTGTTTCGATCCATATAAAGATTTCTGAAGCTTTATTGAACAAGTTTCTCGAAAACTTTTATATGCTTCTGGCACTTTAAATCCCTCAGGTACTTTCATAAAAATTTTGTTGTGTAATGATCCATACAAATAGGCTGTAACAACATCTATTATATGCATATCAAGTTTTTCTTGCACTGCCATATTTATGAGATACCTGAAGGTGATAACATCCACTACAGGAGAATATATCTCCATATAATCGATTTCAGGCCTTTGGGAAAACCCTTGTGCCACAAGTCCCGCTTTATATCTAACAACTTCATTTTTATCATTTCGTTTTCACACAAAAACCCATTTATACCCTACTGGCTTTATGCCTTGGTGTTCGAACTATGGGTTCGAAGACTTCACGTTTTCCAAGTGAAGTTAACTCTGCATGGATAGCGTCTTTTCATTTTGGCCAATCATTTCTCTGTCTACATTTATTGACAGATTTTGGTTCAAGATCCTCATCTTGTTGCATTATTTCAACAACAACATTATAAGCAAAAATGTTATCGATAAAAATATTATTTCGGTTCCATCTTTTTCCGGTTGAGACGTAACTTATTGATATCTCTTCATTTTCATTATTTTCAGGTACCTGGACCTCTCCTAAGGTCTTATCATTTGTTACGTCTTGGGGCTCTTCTTGAGCCACTACCTCTGTGTTATGTTCACTTTGATCACTTGCTCCTTTTCTTCTTCGAGGATTTTTATCTTTAGAACCGATTGGTCTACCACGTTTCAAGCATGGCTTAGACTCATTTGCTTTAATTAATTGTCCTGCCGGGATATCAACTCGAATTGGAGCATTAGCAGCTGGAATATGTGACTTAGTCACCCTTGGTAGGTCAGTGAATGCATCTGGCAATTGATTTGCAATATTTTGCAAATGAATAATCTTTTGAAGCTCTTGTTCACATTGATTTGTTCGAGGATCTAAATGAGACAATGATAATGCATTCCAATCTATCTTCTTTTTTAGCTGCTTATTTTCTCCCCCTAATATAATTCATCAAAATGACAATCAGAAAATCTTGCCGTAAATAAATCTCCAGTCATCGGCTCTAGATATTTTATAATAGAAGGAGATTCATATCCAACATATATCCCCAACCTTCTTTTAGGACCCATCTTTGTATGTTGTGGTGGAGCAATTGGAATATATATCGCACAACCAAAGATCCTAAGATGAGAAATATTTGGCTCCTGACCAAAAGCCATTTGGAATGGGGAGACTTTATGATAACTTGTGGGCTTTATCCGCACAAGTGTTGCTGCGTGCAAAATAGCATGACCCCATACTGAAATGGAAAGTTTTGTTCTCATAAGCATTGGTCTAGCGATTAATTGGAGGCGTTTGATCAATGATTCTGCTAGACTATTTTGTGTATGAACATGAACAACCGGATGCTCAATCGTTATCCTAGTTGAAATACAATAATTATTAAAGGCTTGGGATGTAAATTCACCAGCAATATCAAGACGAATTGTCTTAATTGCATAATCTGGAAATTGTGCTCTTAGCTTTATTATTTGAGCCAACAATCTCATAAATGACATATTGCGAGTTGATAGTAAGCACACATGTGACCATCTTGTAGATGCATCTACCAAAATCATATAATATTTGAATGGTCCACATGGAGGGTGAATGGGCCCACATATATCACCATGTATATGTTCCAGAAATGCAGTGGATTCCATCCTACCTTTAACAGTTGATGGTCTAAAAATTAATTTTCCTTGAGAACAAGCAGCACAAGAGAATTCCTTAAATTGAAGAATCTTTTGATTCTTCATTGCATGTCCATGTGAATTCTCAATTATTTTACGCATCATATTAGAACCAGGATGGCCCAACCGGTCATGCCAAATAATAAAATTATCTTGATTAGTAAACTTCTCGTTTACTACGGCATGTGTTTCAATCCTGCTAATACTTGTGTAGTATAAACCGGAGGAAAGAACAGGTAATATTTCAACTACATATTTCTTACCGGGCATTATTGTAGTAATATAAAGATATTCAATCTTTTCATCATTTGTAGTCTCAATATGATAGCCATTTTGTCGAATATGTTTGAAACTTAATAAGTTTCTTTGAGATTTACTACAATATAGTACTTCATCAATAGCAAATTTGTTCCTCCTGGTAGTAATAAATTGGCTCTTCCAGAACCTTCAATTAATCTTGTACTACCGGATATTGTATTAACATTCGCTTCTTTCATTACCAAATAAGAGAAATATCTCTTATCTTTTAAAATAGTGTATGTTGTAGCACTATCCAGAAGACATATATCATCTTTATTAATCTTGAGTCCAACTGAAGACTGGGGAAAAGACAAACAAAAAAAATATTAAGAAATACATTAGGAATGTAGAAACTAGCAACACATGATGCATTAGGAAAATACACTCAAGAAAAATAAACTAGTTGCAAACATAAAAATAACAACTTTTATAGCTTCATTCCCCAGTAAGATGATTAGTTCTTCAGACAATATCCTCAAAGAAGTCTCCAGCTTCTTAATGAGTAATATTTGTTAGGCCTCCAAAATCATCATCTTTATATGCAAGATGTGCCTTAGAATCATATTTGTTTGAGGGACCTACTTCATCATCATTATTTTGAAAGGTCAAGTGTGCCTCCACATTATTTTCTTTTTTTTTCGGAGGGAGGCTTGATAAAGTTTGACAAAATGATCTAGCGTACGACAAATGCGTGCCCAATGACCATTCATACCGCATCAGTGACACATACTAGTTTTACCTTTTGAATGATTAATTTGAGAACCCTTATTGTTCTCCAATTTATTTCCACCATAATAACGATAATTATTTTGTCCCCTGCCACGTCCACGTTTACGACCATGTCCATGACCACGATAATATTTTGTTTTCTTTCAAACTTATCATATGCTGCTACAGTATTCACTTCCGGAAATGGAGCTAACCCAGTGGGACGGGCTTCATAATTTTTCATTAATAGAGTATTATTCTGCTCTGCCACAAGTAGGCATGTGATTAACTCAGAATATTTCTTAAAACTTTTTTCACGGTATTGTTGTTGTAGCACCAAGTTTGAAGCGTGAAAAGTAGAAAAAGTTTTTTCCAATAAGTCCTCATCTGTGATAGTGTCTCCACATAATTTTAATAGAGAACTTACTTTAAAGATAACAGAATTATACTCACTTACGATCTTAAAGTCTTGCAGCCTTAAATGTATCCACTCATACCGAGCTTTCGGTAATACCGTAAATTTTAGGTGGTCATACCGATCCTTCAAATTAATCCTTAATTCAAGTGGATCTTTTACGGTTAAATATTCAGTTTTTAACCCTTCATGTAGATGACGACGANTAATCTGCATACAATGATCATATGATATGTACTGCCATAAATAAAATGATTATAATGATACATACCTTAATAAAATATGGCTCAACTTAGCGGGAGTTAAGAATAAAATTAGAGTTTCGTGCTGATAACGTGTTATAAAATAAAAGCAATGTAGTAAAATATAAATAAGAAGAGGTAGAAAGAAGGAAGAAGTCTTTTCTTCTTTTACTTTGGTGTATTTTTCCATTGCAATTACATAGCCTTTTATAGGCATAAAAAATAAATATGATGGACATAAAGTAGGATATTTAATCTTTAAGCTATTCACAACATGGGCATCCAATGTACAAACTATGTTGTTCACAACGTGCGCATCTAATGTAGCATCCAATGTACAAACTATACTATTCACAACATGGGCATCCAATGTAGCATCAAATGTACAAACTATTTATAACAACGAGCACCTATTTGAACGAGGGGCAATTGTTATATTTAAATTTCAAAGGTCTAGATTAAATTAAATTAACAAGCATATTAGTCATAGATATATTCAGAAAGAAAAACTCTGGTGTAAAAAAAAACTCTATCTTCCAAAATTATGGCTTAATTAATATGATTATTTTCAACTTTTTTTAATACTTTTTCTCTGCTATGTGAAGTGAAGGCGCAAAGAGAGGAGCCAGTAATAATTTGACGTGGAAAAAGGTAAAAATTGTACGGGGCGCCCTATTGGTCGCCCCCATTTAATTTATATCTATTTTTTAAATTTTTTTTAACTTGTACTCACTTTTTAAATAACGTCAGCCCCCTTTCTCCTCCTTCGTTTTCTTCTTCAAGTTACAAAAAAAACTGGTATTTATCTCCAGATGCAACACTGCTTTAGTTATAAGGTCAATTTTTTTTAATTGAACAGTTCGACAGTTGTACTTCTGCTCCAAATTTACAGCAAATTAGTCTTAGGAAAAATTTAAGTTACCAATAAGATGAGCTGTAAAATTTTGGAGTTTTTGTATGTTTATTCGTGTTTGAGCTGAGAAGATGTACATTATTTTTCTTAAAAAATCACTGCTAATTGTGGTGCTTCAGCTCTAGAGCTGAAGTTCGCCAGTTACAAAACAAAAATTTTGCCAGTTACAAAAACAAAAACTTCAGCTCTAATCGCCAGTTAAAAAACAAAAAACTTCAGCTCTAGAGCTGAACTTCAAGCCCGACTACTAGAATGTTGAAGTTTTGCGTGATTGTCTTTGCTACTTCAGTCCTGTATGCTGAAGTTATGCGAAAAAACGGATAGACTTGCAATTTTTTTTGCAAAACGGGCAGAAGTTAAAACGTGATATAAAAAGCGGGTATAGATGCAAATGCCCCTGGAAAAAGGGGTAGCTAATGCAAATGAATTTATTCAAATTAACACACAGATGTACATTTGATCGTATTATTTAAACTAAAAACATAAAATACACATGATCGACACCTTACACCATGTCACTAAATCAAAATAGTCTCAACAGGTACGTAACAGAGCCAAGTCACTATTTAAAATTAGAGGAATCACCAATATCTGGCTCCTCTCTTTTGTCTGCCGCAAAAATTTTAAAATTCACAGAAGAATTAATTAATCACTCTGCTCTGTAACGTCAGATGAGTAATGAATCGCGTAATAATTAAACAATCTTAGAAAAATAATCCAGCGACGGCTGCAACCCCAAAAACATAGGAGACCTTTATAGTGGTGGCGGTGCTAGCTGTAGTGGGTGCTTCAGCAGGAGTGGCACTGTCAGTGGTGGGACCCGAAGATGTAGTGGAGGTGGGTGGGGAAGAAGAGTCGCTGTCGGGGGAAGGTGGAGATGAGGGTTCATCATCAGCAGGGGAATTTGAAGTTGGAGAAGAAGTTGGAACAGAATCAGAATCAGAAGAGGAGGAATTAGATGAAGATGATGATGGAGATGATGATGGTGATGTTGATGATGATGGTGTACTGGCTTTAGGGGAAGAGGCAGGGGCAGGGGATGATTTAGGGGCGGCGGCGGTGGGGTCATTAGCACTACTCTTTGGTGCAGCTGCTGATGGCGTCGAGGCAGAAGGAGATGATGATGGGGTTGTTGCTGGTGATGACGATGATGATAATGATGATGATGGTGATGTTGCTGATGTGGATGATGATGGTGATGATGATGGTGATGAAGAAGGGGAGCTACTTGGGGAATTAGCAGCTGAAGCTAATCCAGCAATGGCAACAAAGAGGAGAGCCAAAACAATAACTTGACGTGCCATTTTTTTTATTTATTTATAGTTTTTTGTATATAAATATTTTTTTGGTTTATTGATGGGGAATGGAAATGTAGAGATTTGATGAGAGAATGATCCTTTAAGATTTGCAGTAATTTTTTTTAAGAGAAAAACTGCGTAACTTAAAGGATTGAGGACAATGAAGGAGTTATAGGGGAGTGGTTTTTATAGGGTGGTTAAAGGACAAAGGTCAGAATGAACACAAGTGTTAGGCCAAATTCATTGCCAAATTCATTGGCAGATTGAAAAATAAAATATTGAAGGTAAACCGTAAATGGAGAAGGATGGACAGGATTTTCTTCTGTTTATTGACCAATTATTCATGGGTGTATTTATGTGTTCCTCCATTCTGAATGGCGAGTCATGAATTCATCGTTTGACTGGCCTTTTTGGGCCTCTTCTCATTAATGATATATGGCATCTTTACATAAATAGCCAATACGATTCACTGTTTACTTTATCTAGCCAGTTATTTGCCACGTCCATTTAAACTTAAAACCCAACACAACCCAAAACCAAAAAAAGTTGCAGAAATATGATACTTTTTGAGTTGGTCTTTTAACTTTTGACCCCCGCTAGCCCATACGTAGAACTTTAAGGTCAAAAGTTAAAATTATTGCCCATGGGACAAGTTATAGACAACATTTATTAAACTTGAAGTTATGCCCATAGAGCAAGCATACATAAAAATTCAAGACCATCCTCTTTGAGACTAAACTTGATCTTTTTCCGAGCTTTGCAAGAATAATTGTTTTAAAACTTGATAAAATGTGAGTTTAGCTTTAACACTTGCATCTCGACTCAAATAGGATTAACTGATTTAAATTATGATGCTCATAAAAGGTAGAGTCTTTATTTCCTTTTCAAATAACATATATGCACACGCAGGGAGTAAATTCATAAGCTAAAATCAAGAAAAAGGCTAAAATCTTTTTTTATTTTATTTTACTGGCTGCTTTTTCTCCCATAGCTCCTGTGTAGATCCACATTTCTGAGCATGGATCACACACACACACATACACACACACACACACACACACACACACACACACATATGTATATATATATATATATATATATATTGTATACCGACTAGAAAAAGAACATTGAATTTGGCCGGCTATTTGTGTAGCAATCCCATAAATAATCATATCCAATGTCTTTAAAATTAACGAACAAGTTAGCTACTTGTTACATCTTAATTCTGATCCTAAACATAGTAACATCAAATTCGACTAAACTTAAGAAAAATTCTCGCACAGAGTGAAATCAAAGAGTTGCGCAGTCGATGAAAATTTTGTTCTAGGTTTAATTCATATTGGAACCTTCGCTTAGTACAATCTTTCATTATTGAGCCGGGATAGTATATGTATGTACAAAAATTTTTGGGGTTAAAGTGTACAAAATAGAAGTTAGTAACTAATTTAACTAATAGGATGTATTAGTAGTTGTATGTATATCAGACTACCAAAGCTTTCTTTCTTAGCTAACTTCTTCATCTCCAATCGTGAATAACAATGGAGATTTCTCTGATTGCTCTCTCTCTCCCTCAAATCCCCATGCGTGTCCTCTTCTATGGAAATTTGATATGGTATCAGAGCGGTCGATTTAATTCCATTGTGCCTTCCTTCCCTCTGTCAATCTCACAACTCCGATCTTCGTTTTTCAATTTTCATTTCGTCAGTGATCGTCGTCCCAGAGCTAGGGTTCTTAATTCAGAGCAAAAACGGCAGTTAATGATGGATTGATTGCTGAGACTATGCTAGGACACACTCATCCTCTGTATTTGTGAACTTCAGACACGTCGGGAGAGCATCTGATTGAATTCAAGTTGATGGGGACTGAGAACTACAACTTGTGGTCTAGATCTATAAGAATTGGACTGTTTACGAAGAACAAAATCAGATTTATTGTCGGAACCTGTAAGAAGGAGAATTTTGGGAAAAATTTGCATGATCAGCGGGAGAGATGCAATGTATTTGTGCTATCATGAATAATGAATGTTGTTGCCAAAGAGCTCTATAGCACTGTAGTCTATGGATCTTCTGCATGCAATATATGGAAAGATCTGAAGGAACGTTTTGATAAGAGAAAATTTCTAGAATCTACAATTTGTCACATGAGATTATATCTCTTAAGGAAGGTTTGGCGCCAGTTTCTGTTTACTATTCTAAACTGAAGGACCTATGGGATGAGTATGATGCTATGACACCTACTCCTTTATGTCCATGTCCTGAATCGAAGATATTTCTGGAACATATTCAACAACAACGTCTAGTGCAATTTTGAGTGGTCTCAATGAGTCATTTGCTCAAGCAAAAGGCATATAATGTTGATGATTCCAACTCCAAACATCAATGAAGCCTATGCGATGGCTGTGCAGGATGAAAGTCAGCGAGCCAAGGCAGCTAGCATCAGTAATTTGGAAATAGGAGCTCAGGTAATAGTGTATAACATAGGTCATGTAGCTAACCCAATGGCTTCCGATGCAGGTTATGGAGCTAATGTTGTGGGTTACAACACAGGGCAGACATACACTGGAGGCTACAAGCAAAAGAACCCGTTGTACTGTGATTATTGCAAAAATAAGGGACACACTAGGGATGTCTGTTACAAACTAGTGGGTTATCCTACAGATTTCAAACCAAAGAGGAAGACATTTGGAAGGAATGCAACTGCAGCACATGTGCAGATGGACAAATATACAGGCCCAAATGAGTAGCTGGAACGAGCAAAAGTTGAACCAGCAGGACATTTCTTTACAGAGGAGCAATATCATCAGCTGCTGCAAATGCTCAACCAGACCAACACCAACACTTTACTTGATACAATAGCCCATGCTAAGATCATAGGTATACCATTGTCACTTCTGAGTATGATCAAAGAAAATAGATGGATTATAGACTTAGGAGCTACAAATCATATGATGTCTAGCCTATATTTATATATTGATTATGTGGAGCTATCTGAAAGTAATTCAAGCAAAATGCAATTGCCTACTGGAAAGACAAGTGTAATTACACACTTAGGGACTTCCAACATATTAAATGGCATGATGATCAAGAATGTACTCTATATACCTAGGTTTAGGTATAATCTGTTATCGGTGTCTAAGCTGACCAAGGATTTGGGCTTATTTCTTGCCTTCTTTCCTGCCTGCTGTATATTCCAGGACATTTGCAGTGGCAAGGTGAAGGGGATTGGTAGAGTGGAGCATGGATTATATGTGCTAGACCAGACTATCAAGAGTAACACACATGAAGGATTGCCTATTAGCCTTATATCTTCTACACTGCATGTAAATAGAATAAATGCTACCTTATGGCATAAACGGTTAGGACATGTACCTGTGGATACTATGAAAAGGATGCATATGTTTGGAAACACAAAGTTTGTTAACTGTGATGATCATTGTTCTGTATGCCCTTTGGCTAAACAAATACGTTTACCTTTTCCAGATAATACTACAAAGAGTTATGCATTAGGTGATCTTATTCATGCAGATGTATGAGGACCTTTTATGGTACCCATCTATGATGGTAAGCAATATTTCTTAACTCTTGTGGCTGATTTTAGTAGATTCACGAGGTTGTGCCTAATGATTCTAAGGATGAATCGCTGGTGGTATTAAAATTCTTCGTTGCTTTGATTAAAACAAAATTTTCTTCCACTATCAAAACTCTTAGAACAGACAATGGAGGAGAATTTTTCAATAACCAGCTTAAGGAGTTGCTGCGAGTATTACTCGTCAAAGCACATGTCCATACACCCCTCAACAGAATGGGGTAGTAGAGAGAAGACATAGATACATACTGGACACTACTGGTTCATTGAGGTTCCAAGCAAACCTACCTTTGAAGTTTGGAGAGAATGTATTATGACGGTAGTGTATCGGATCAACAGAATCCCCTCAAGAATATTGGGTGGGAAATGTCCATTTGAGCTGGTGTTTAACAAAGCTCCTTCACTAGATCATCTTAGGGTGTTTGGATGTCTTTGCTATGCTGCAAACTTGAAGAAAAGGGACAAGTTCTCTGCCAGAGCTGTTCCTGCAGTATTCTTGGGTTATTCTTTAACTCAGAAGGGTTATAAACTGTTTGATCTATCTAATCGTATAGTTTTTGTTAGCAGGGATGTTATTTTCCAGGAAGACAACTTCCCATTTATGCAAATGTCAAGTGGATCAAGTTCAGTTGTTCTATCTACACATCAAAATCACCATGTATCTATTACAAACATTGATGCCTATCCTGTGTCAACTACATTTCCCAATGATGATTCTGCATTTGTTATAATGCCCATGGATTCTCCACTTCCAGATATGCAGGAAAACATCTTACTCAATAGCCCTATTGATGATTCTCATATACCAACTATTGTAGATTCTTCTACATTACCTACTGCTGATTCTACAACTACTGCACACTCACCATCACCTCAGTATGAAGATAATTTTTAACCTCGCAGAAGCTCTAAAATTTCTAGACCTCCTATTTGGATGCAGGGCTATGTGAGTTCCCAGAAAAGTGCCTACCCTATTTCCAACTCTGTCAGATATCTTCAATTGAAACCTCACTACTCCAAACGCTTGGCTGCTTATTCTTCTGAGACAGAACCAAAATCTTTTACTAAAGCTGCTAAGAACCCTAAGTGCGTTGATGCCATGCAAAAAGAAATTCAAGCCTTGGATGATAATCAGACTTGGAGCTTGGTGCCGCTACCACATGGGAAGCAACCTATAGGGTCTAAGTGGGTGTTCAAAATTAAGTATCAAGCTTCAGGTGAGGTCGAGAGATGCAAAACTCGACTTGTAGCAAAAGGTTACACACATAAGGAGGGCCTTGACTACACTGATACTTTCTCACTTGTTGCTAAAATAGTGACAGTAAAATCAATTGTAGCACTGACAGCTTCCTCTGGTTGGCCTCTTTATCAGATGAATATTCATAATGCCTTCTTGCAAGGCGACTTAGTTGA